GTAAATATCCACAATTCGTGACCTCCAAGTAGCTGGATTACAGGACGATATTTTAGTACAAAGCACAAAAGTTCCTCCTCCTGCTTTCGAATTCAACTTTTGGGAGCAATTATAAGCGTTACCATGACATGATTAAAACATGGGCATTTGTTTAGTAATAAAAATTTATAAGTAGGTAAAGCTCAAAAAACATAATTTTGTCACAAGTCAAATTAAAATAAAATGAATACATTTTCCTATTTATAATAAAAGAGTTATTATTTCTGCTGGCTATTGCACAAAATGTAGGGAGTCTGGAAGGAAAGCAGATTCTTTACATAAGATTGCATTAAATATGTTCTACAGTAATGACAAAATATATACTTTTGGGTATTTATTAAGTAACTTAAGGGAAATTATTACTTGTTATTTTGTTTAGTGTAACATTTTTATAATTGAACAAAACATAAATTTGATTACTTTAAAGATTGTTATTTACAAATAATACCAAATAAATGTTTTACTGATTTATTTAGAATGTACTTTGTATTAGCCAACATAAGGCTTCCGTGGCTTAGACATACTACATAGAGGCCTCAAGAGAAATACAACTCCTTGTTTGTTTTTGTCTGCCTATTTGTATTTGTCAACGCACAGGTTATCACTCACTTTTGCTTTACTATTTTGTCGTTGATTTAATTTCTCTACACATTCTATTAGACAATTTCGTACTTTTTATTGTAATTGGTTTTACTTTATAAATTATCTGTGTGAAATATTTTTGCCAATCATATTTAATATAGTTCACAACCACCACATTAGTTGATCCTTAACATAAATTGATCACTCAAATACCAATAATTTGCAACCAAAAGGTGAGTGAGCGTAGCGAACGAACTTCAACCTGGAGGCGAGTTAGCGTAGCGAACGAGCTAACCTGAAGGCAAGTGAGCGCAGCGAACGAGCTCCAACCTAAAGGTGAGTGAGCGTAGCGAACGAGCTAACCTGAAGGCAAGTGAGCGCAGCGAACGAGCTCCAACCTAAAGGTGAGTGAGCGTAGCGAACGAGCTCTAACCTAAAGGTGAGTGAGCGTAGCGAACAAACTTCAACCAGGACGTGATTGAGCCATGCGAACGAGATAATCTTGAAAATTAAGAAGTTAAACGGGGCAAAGCCCGCGGGTTACAGCTAGTATTTAATATAGTTCACAACCACCACATTAGTTGATCCTTAACATAAATTGATCACTCAAATACCAATAATATGTCTGTTAGTTCCCTAAACTACCTCGAGGAGGTACAACACTTACGAATATTGTAAGTCACTAGTTTGAATTGTAACGTATAACTATGCATTGAGATCAATGTAATCTATTCCAGGTATAAATATAAGACACAAAACTGTATTCCTACACATTTAATGAGATGTTGTAATTTTCTTTCCTTTTTCGATGATTCAACCATTGTATATGACCTAAGCTACAATTGTCAATACCTTACAAGGATAACTTCAATATCAATGTAAATATATATAAACGAAACTGGAAGTTATTTCTTTCAGTGTTATTTCTTGATATCCTTACTTGTATCTAAAACAAAAATTGCACACATTAAAGTTATAGTTAGTATTTCTATTCATAAGGATATCATCATAGCATTAGCAGCATTAGCTACAACACTTGACATTTAGAGGCACTTCAAGTAAAATAAGTCTAATGGCATTAATTAATTCTTTTTGAGTCTTATTGAGTCTTTCTCGTAATTGTATCTTACTGGAGACCATGACCATCTAAACCTCCTACCTACTCTTTATTATGTGGAAATACAGAAGCGAATTACTGTCGGGGAAAAAAGTTTAGACACTCGAGTTTGGAGCTCTACAGAAAAGTTACCAACTAACTTAGAAAAACGCGTAGTATATATAAATTTACGTTGTTTTATTCTACGTATTCCTGTGAAAACAAAAAATTTTTAGCTCGTTTAGGAAATTTTTATGACAGTCGGAAGGTAAAAACTCCCTGTTTTTAGAGTACCAAAATCCATCTTATGACTTTGAAAATTCGCACAATGTAAACTAAACGGCAGAACTTTATCAAACTTTAATACAATATGGACACATATATAATGAATTAATTTGTGTAGTTTCAGAATTTTTACTCTACCCAAAAGGTTTTTGTTGTAACTTTTGTAAATCAATTTTTTCTCAAAAACGGCAAACGCTAGAAAAAAAATTTAAAGCTTGTTTCGAAGGTGATTGAAATGAAATGAAATGAAATGAAATGAAATGAAATGAAATTAAATTAAATTAAATTAAATTAAATTAAATAATATTTTATTTCCCATTAATTATTTACAGATAAGTACATTGTATTTTTTTCTTTACTTAAATATGATACAGCAAAACATTACTAACTAGATAACAAAACAAAAATATATACTGTAGAAATAAGTGAATAAAAGTGTAAAAAAAAAACATTCTAAAAGAAAGGAAAAAGTCTACATAGGCAGGGCCTGTGCGTAGACTCGAGTTGCGAAAAAGATTAATTTAAATGGGAAGTAAAAAATATTTTTGAAAATCGTGAATTGTGCGATTGTTTTTGTATTTGAAATATTGATACTGCTCAACCAAATTGTTACGCATGTAGATGTTAGATGTAGATGTAGATGTAGTAGATGTTATTTTTCGCAATGACAATCTATGACAACATATTTTTGTTGCCATGCACAGCGAGCAGCTACCGATCAAATACAATGATACAAATAAAATACAAAATAGCAATGATTGCTTACTAGCTAGAATGACGTTTAGTTTCTGAAATTGTTTATAACATTTTTTTAAGAAGCAATATATTAAGTGGAAAGGGAGTTTTAATAAACATCCTCATATAATTTTAGCTTTAAAGTATTCTTTTTCATCGTCATTATAAAAAGGGTCGTATTAAATTCCCTAGCCAATAGGAAATGTGATAAAACCAGCTGTGTGACCTGTATGGGCTTAGTATAATCCAGTGAGGCTGTGTTTTAATCAACAAAGTTTCGGTTTTGCCAATAAAATACCGTTATAGTCGGGTGGATAACTTGGACTGTATTTCACAGAGGTTTCATTTAGACTCTGTAGGTTCCCACAAAACTGTCCAGTTTAATTTTTGTTTTTGTTTTTGTTTTTTTGCTTGATAAAAAGGGTTCAAAAGTTCTTAAATAGCTTAATTTCTTTTTGAGTTAAATAGCCTACAATTTTGACTCAGAACAGTAATAGATGTAATATATTTCAGTTTCATAAGTAATGGTTCCTGTAAAGAAAGTTTTTGAAATTCATTTATAGAAATTTTACTGAAAAAAATTAGATAATTATTTAGTCCTACTCCTGTTCATGGGAAACAGTACATTACAGAGAGTTACTTTAAAGACCTATTGTAGTGACAGCTGACAGCTGGTTTATTATTCATTTAATTTGCTAACAACACATGTTATGATTATTGTTTGTTGTTTGGTATATTTCAGTTGTTACCTAGTTACAGAAATAAAAGATTGTACATTTTTTTATTTAAAAGGTTTTACATTTTTTTAGCTGTCACTACACATATACTAATTGTTTACATAATAGTATGGGAAACCGAATAAAATATTTTCTCCCATATTCTACTTTTTTGGGGTGGAGGTTGTCATTCATCTGCTTTAAGTCGTTTTGGTAAAACTGATTGTGTTAAGTAAATTATTATATTGAAGAAATAAAGGGATTACCTTATCCAACCTGTTGCTGGTATGACAACTAGTTTCGTTCCTTAGAACATCGTCAGGTCATTGTATGCAACCACATCATCAAATTATTAGTACATTGTGGTATGTCAAAAGATTCTTTAAAACACTGTCAAAATCACAATAGTAATAACTAGTCATGTTGATCAAATTATTAAAATGGAATAAAAGTGATAAAACTGGTTAAAACTGTAAAGGCTGGCCAGCACTGTCTTATCACTGTCACTGACTAAATAAAACAGTTTTATTTGTTTTATTTACTTAGTGACAGTGATAAGACAGTGCTGGCCAGCCTTTACAGTTTTAACCAGTTTTATCACTTTTATTCCATTTTAATATTTTGATCAACATGACTAGTTTTTGCTATTGTAATTTTTTAAGTGTTTTAAAGAATCTTTTGTAATGCCACAATGTATTAATAATTTGATGATGTGGTTGCATACAATAACCTAAAGAAGTTTTAAGGTACCAAACTAGTTGTCATACCAGCAACTGTGGTTGGATAAGGTTATCCTTTTATTTTATCAATAATATATTCTAACCAAGGTGTTATGTTTTGGCTGTAATAACCATATACAAAAAGAAAGAGTTTATAAGTGGACTGTATAAATATTAACTGATGTTTGTTACCTTGATGTTGCATTGGTTTTCACTAGGCCTACTCCTCTTCATGTATTTTCCATTTATAAATTTATTGTCCAGGGGCCCCTTTTTTTGGTCCTCTTCATATTGCATACTGGCAATTTAGTTAAATATATCTTGCTATGCTATTTTATATGTATCTTGCACTGCACTTGATATTAAATGATATTAATTTTGCACTGTGAACTGATCTGATGCTTACTGGCATCAACATGGTTATAGTAGCACACACTAGCACAGTTAAAGTTAAAGTGAGAGAGTGATTGAACTGTACTGTATGATTTTTGGACTGCTTGCATTTACAGGACTGACAACTTAAAAAATGAAATTATCCTGCTCATACCAACTTGGTATTATAAGAAATTAAATTAACTATTCTTTCTTGCTTACTAATTATAAATTAGTAATTTTGACAATATCTTTTGTCATGTTAAATAAAATAAATAATAAAGTAATAATTACATGACATCTCGGCCCCCTTGAACCCCTAGGTTCAACAAACTTGGTAACAAAATAAATCACACTCATCTGTTAAATTCAAATCAATGACTTCAAAAAATAAAAACAAAGTGCAATGACACTGAGTGGGAAAACTTAAACTAGCCTAATGATACTAATGATTGCTTAATCCATGGGAAGTGGAGAGAGCTTTGTAACAGGGCGAGTGAAGCGTCCTGATTTTGTAACCACTTCGGCAACTCGAACAATGTTGTCATTTCCAGGGAAGACCTTGATGATGCGTCCGAGTCTCCATTGTAGAGGGGGTAAGTTGTCTTCGTGAATTAGAACAAGATCATTGACTTCCAAATTCTTCTGAAACTTGACCCACTTTGAGCGCTGCTGTAATGTAAACAGGTATTCCTTATGCCAGCGTTTCCATATGCGTTGTGTAAATGACTTGACCTGCTGCCATCTCTTCAAACGGTTGGAAGGTATTTCGGAGATATCAGCTTCAGGTAAACAGACGAGAGGTCCACCACTAAGAAAGTGACCAGGGGTGAGGGCTTCTAACTCTCCAGGTTCCGAAGACAGTGGAGTGAGAGGTCTGCTGTTGAGAATAGCTTCCACTTGACAAAGCAGTGTGTTAAACTCTTCATAGGTCAATAAAGTGTCGCCAATGACACGTCGCAGATGATTCTTCACACTTTGAACTGCTCGTTCCCAGATGCCGCCAAAATGGGGAGCATGAGGAGGTATGAAGTGAAAAGTGATGTGCTGATCTTCCAAAAATCGTTGTGTAGGTGATTGCAAGGCTATCTGCTGAAAACTTTCTTGTAGTTGACGAGAAGCACCAACAAAGTTCTTGCCATTGTCAGAATATATGTTGGAGACCATACCACGGCGAGAGATGAACCTTTTCAAAGCAGCAATAAAGGCATCGGAGGTCAAATCTGTGACCATTTCCAAGTGGACAGCCTTTGTAGACATACAGATAAAAAGACAGATGTACACTTTAATATTCTGAAGTCTTCTGAGGTTATGTAGCTTTACGGCAATAGGTCCAGCGTAATCGACAGCTGAAGAAGAGAAGGGTCTTGTGGGAGCAACTCGACTACTTGGTAAGTCACCCATGAATGGCGGGGTTAGCTTAGGTTTGGTCCTGTAACAACTTATACAACGAAATACTCTGGCCTTAATAGCACTTCGAGCTGACAGAATCCAATATGTTTGACTTATAAGTGACTGTAATTGTTGTGCACCACAATGTAAATATAATATATGATAGTAATCTATTATAAGTCTAGTCACAAAATGGCTTTTAGGCAACAAGATAGGATGTTTTGCGTTGAAGTTTATTGCAGCATTTTTCAGTCGACCACCAAGGCGTATATGTCCAGCTTCATCCAAAAATGGGGCAAGTTTCTGCAAATGATTAGAAGGAGGTTTCTTGTTTTGCAGGTTAATAATATCAGAAGCAAATGATTCTTGCTGTGTTAGCAGAATTACACGAGTAGTAGCTGCTTGAAGTTCCTTTAGAGTAGTAGGTATATTGGTTGATGTATCACCTAAGTTTTGTGACTTTGACTGTTGATTTGAGCACATCTTCGAACTCATTTTATCCTTACAGCGATGAAAAAATCTTAGTATAAGTGCAACAATATGAATTAGCTTCGTCCAAGATGAGTATCTCGTCAAAATTTCACATGTTGGTGTAAATTAAAATTAAATTAAAATGGAATAAAAGTGATAAAACTGGTTAAAACTGTAAAGGCTGGCCAGCACTGTCTTATCACTGTCACTGACTAAATAAAACAGTTTTATTTGTTTTATTTACTTAGTGACAGTGATAAGACAGTGCTGGCCAGCCTTTACAGTTTTAACCAGTTTTATCACTTTTATTCCATTTTAATATTTTGATCAACATGACTAGTTTTTGCTATTGTAATTTTTTAAGTGTTTTAAAGAATCTTTTGTAATGCCACAATGTATTAATAATTTGATGATGTGGTTGCATACAATAACCTAAAGAAGTTTTAAGGTACCAAACTAGTTGTCATACCAGCAACTGTGGTTGGATAAGGTTATCCTTTTATTTTATCAATAATATATTCTAACCAAGGTGTTATGTTTTGGCTGTAATAACCATATACAAAAAGAAAGAGTTTATAAGTGGACTGTATAAATATTAACTGATGTTTGTTACCTTGATGTTGCATTGGTTTTCACTAGGCCTACTCCTCTTCATGTATTTTCCATTTATAAATTTATTGTCCAGGGGCCCCTTTTTTTGGTCCTCTTCATATTGCATACTGGCAATTTAGTTAAATATATCTTGCTATGCTATTTTATATGTATCTTGCACTGCACTTGATATTAAATGATATTAATTTTGCACTGTGAACTGATCTGATGCTTACTGGCATCAACATGGTTATAGTAGCACACACTAGCACAGTTAAAGTTAAAGTGAGAGAGTGATTGAACTGTACTGTATGATTTTTGGACTGCTTGCATTTACAGGACTGACAACTTAAAAAATGAAATTATCCTGCTCATACCAACTTGGTATTATAAGAAATTAAATTAACTATTCTTTCTTGCTTACTAATTATAAATTAGTAATTTTGAAAATATCTTTTGTCATGTTAAATAAAATAAATAATAAAGTAATAATTACATGACACAAGGGTCACAATGAATAACAAATTATTGCAGACAAAATCCTTTCCTAGTCATATACTGTCACATCCTTAAAACATAAAAATCCGTTACATTTCCAGTGTTTAAATCTCGAGGGTGGACGAGTAAAGTGTTGTATTCATTATTCAGCTCTGGTCCAGTTGATTCTACACTGGCAGCCCCCGGGACAAGTATCCTGGTATTTTCTGATATTAAAACGAATTTACGACGCTGTTTTGTCTCACAGTTTTATTAGTCTTTGAAAATGTAAAACCGAAATATGCATGCTCTGGCGAGTTTTTTGTTGGGATTGTGTTTCATTTTAATAAGAAATATAGCTGTGTATTAAAATAGTCTGTGCAATGTTTCTTCTTTAAAGTTTTTCAAAAATTGTGTAATAATAGGGCACCTCATAGATCCACAAGTCCATTTTTGTCTTTTAGTTTATTTAACATGCTTTATATGGAAGTTTAGATTTGAAATACGAATAGAGAACTAGGAAATATGGGGGACAATAAACAGTTCCCTAATGGTTCTTTAGTTATAAAAAATAGACGCACACGTTTGATTTAAAAATCTTAAAATGTACATTGAACCGTTGATTGTAAATCATTATTCAAGCATACACCCACTTTTCCAATCAATCAAAGTAGTTTTCAACCAGATTGTACTCATTTTTACATGTCTGTTACTTGAAGAATGGACTTTAATCAAAACTGTAACCTATTCTTACAAAGAGAGACAAAACGAAATTATGTAGACAACAGTTTCTAGAATTTTATGTCACTAAATTAAAACTAAGCATTTTCGAAAACGAAATGTTATGATAGTGCAGCCAATTTTCATACGCTAGTGAATGTATAATGCAATCAACTATATCGTTTAGTACCTGAGCCAGGACCTGAGGGATTGGTAATATATTTTCAGCATACATTCCCTTCTATCATAAATAGGCTAATATATTTTTAATTTAGGCACTCAAATATTTGACATTGGCTTGTGTGTTAGTGCAAGGATCATTGGTTTGTGGACATATCTACTTAACTAATAAACGAAAAACTAATCGGAACGAGAGGGAGTTACCTAATTGTATGTAATTGAAACTTTATTAAAAACAAAACTTCGGCATTGCCGTATGAAAAATTAAAAAAAAATATATTATGCACACAAGTTTTAATAGTTCCTGGACCATTTCGTTGTCGTTTTGTGATTCCCTTAAAATCCGTTTCTTAAAACAGCCCTTTACAGATAAAATCACAATTTTCGCCTGTCATAAAGCTCCTCGAGAGTAAAATGTTTCATATTTTACGACTCCTTTCACAAATTGGACTTTTTTCTTTACGATCTTCGTACCTTTGGAATTGAGCTCGTTAAATATACACGATAGCATTGTTATCTTTCATTATTAGAACGGGTCTTATTTGTCATCCAAAAATGCATGTTTTGTTTATTATTTGATACTATAAGTAGCTTTTTAAATATTGTAAGAAGTAAAACGAATTTACGTGAGTTACTGGAATAATAAAACACAAATTAGTGTTTATTTGTTTTGGATTTATTGTTACTAATAGCATTTAAATATTTGTAGGCACAAAATAAGCTACCGTAGTATTTTTCACCTGTTAAGGATTGGTCGTTTTGCAAAATGACACAAATTAAATGGTCAGCCAAATGTCTGAATTGATTTTCAATTTAATCTATTTAACATTGGTTTAACGTGTACCTAGGTTTGCTGCCACAAGGAAAATAATAGAGTGTGTTTTCTAGTAAAATATTAATAGCTTGTAAGATAAATAAATTTACCATTTTTTATCAAAATATACCCATAAAAAAGCAAACAACAACATTTTACAATATTCTCCATAAGAATAACATGGGAATTTTAATTTAAATCCTTTTTTTAATTTTCTCCGGTATCAATAAACATACAAAACAAATTATTTGTTTTTTTAAGCTCTTTAAAAAGCTTTAGAGATATTCATCCGCTATGTTTTTTTAGTACACAACGATTCGGGCGTAAAAACGTTTAGGGGAATGTTTGAGTGAGTCCCCATAACTAGAATTTCTAATTAATTTGAATTCTAATTAGTTCTCTTGACTCTCGAAACTTAATGTAGTCAAAACACCTACTTTATCTTAGACTTCCAAGATAAATCATTTATTTCCAATTTATTATTTTCAAATTACAACTATTCACATAAATCTGTTGTTCATTATTAATGATATACCTGAATCTAAATTTGATTAATACAGTCAACTTGTATGCTGAAAACAAGGGTTTGCAATCCTGAAAATAAATCTATTAAGGTGAAAATTGACAAACTTATTTTTCACATCGACATTTAAGAATCGACGCTGGAATTCCCGTTGGAAAATCCTTTGTCTAGCTAAAACACTACAATAGCGTTGACTACATATACTCTATTTGCTATTGTTTTGCTGTTGTTGGTATGTTCCATATAAAAACATTCCAACAACCTTTGCGTTGTAAAAAAAAAATACCCCCACCACAGCAAACATGCAGACTAAGTGACTTTCCATTTGCTTGATTGGAATTTCTAAAAAATATTTCCTTATGTCAGATTTATTCCCACTTTATACAACATTATGTTTAACGAGTGCTTAGGTTTGCTGCTACACGTTTGCTAGTAGTGTGATTTATTAAGTGAATTTGTGAGTGTAATTTGTGTTTAGTGAATTGTTTATAGTTTAGTGTGAATGAAAGCTTAAAATGTGATCAAAATAATGTATCCACAGTCAAAAACACTGAAACAATATACTCCATAAGAATGAGATAGGAATTTTAAATTACCAGTTTAATAACATTAAAGCAACGCTTCCATATATGTACTGCATGATTTTTTATATTATAAAATGGCTTAGAAATAAATTGTGAAATTTTATGGTTTCTCCATATTTCCATGACCCTCATCCCTTTCAAAACCCCCGTTCTAATAGTTTCAAAACCTCCAATTACCCTGATTTGCGAATCGTTAGAATGAACGTTGGTTTACATGGTGGTACCAAATTCATCCAATACCCCCACCACAGCAAACCTGTTGACAATTTGTTAATATATCACTGAACAAACGTATTTAAATTTGTTTTATAGAGAACAATGTGTTAAATTCCAGCGTAAATTCATACCATATTATAGCTAATTATGACGTTCAACAAACTAGTAAGTAAAGCCAATAGCTTATTCTGATCAATATATTTACACAATCCTGATTAAAGCAGTATAGCCAGAGAATGTTGTCAGAGCAGTATAAGTATATTAAATTTAAACTTTAAGATACTTAGTTCAACAAAGAATGTTTGCATTCTCTAAATTTATTGCTGTTGTTTAGATGGATTTCACAGCTATTATGAGCGTTTCTCCATCCTGTGGAATAACTCCACCCCATTCCAATCTTTGGTACTGGAATTTCATTTTCTTTTCAAGTGAGTTG